AATTTCATATCTGCCCATAGCATTTAAGCTAAAATAGAATGGGGAGTAATTGAAATACATTTTAAAGACCCTGTTATTAATTTAGTGATTCTTAGTTATGGATGATTTCACTCTGAAGTAAAGATGTTTAACACTGTCGAAACCTGTTGCTGGCATACAGCGGACAGAAATCACACACGCTGCTCAGTATCCTATGATGCTCAATATCTCCTGATAGCATGTCTCTGAACCAACTGAAATGCACAATATTCACTTAGACCTAAAGGTCAGGAATACCAAGGGTCAGAAACACTACTACTGAAACTTCTCCAGGCATGGATTACTCTTTCCAAAAATGTCTTATTTGTATATTTTCAAAAGAGTGTAGCCATCAATAAAATAACAAGTCAGAAATAGTACAATGGGCAGGATGTTTAAGGTGGTACAGTGCAAGAATCAGAAATGAATCTTGATTTTTTATCTTGTTCAACTGAGGCACTAGGCAAATTATTTAGCCTCTCAAAGTTTGATATGGTTTGAATGAGTGTCCATTCACTAAAGGATTGGTTGCCTGAATGGTGTTATTAGAAGGTGTTGTATGCTTATTTGAAGTGTGTCCTTCTGAAAGGGCCTTGGACCAATGTGTCTCTTCTTGGTTTCCTGCCTAAAGAGGTGAAAATTCTTCTATTATGTGACCTTCATTAGGAACTGCAAGCAAATGAATCTTACTCAGTCTTGGACTGAAAATTCAAGAATTATGAACCAAATAAACTTTCCTTACTAGTAAGTTATTCACTTTTGGTTAATTGCTTCAGATACTGAATATAACCTGCAGAAACATGAGCATCAATATGCTTTTTCTTTCTGTATTAGTTAATAGCCTCAGGTATTTCAGGATAGCAAAAGAACACTGACTTATAGAACAATGATAGGGGTTTCAATTAAGAGTACTTCAATTTGAGTTGATGTGCTATATTATGGAAAATCAAGGAGGCTTTGCTCTCTTAAACTAATTCTTGGATGGGAAGATAGAAGTCCTATACATTTGGAACTTGCTTATCCTTCGTTGGTTCTAAAAGATCCGGCTTTCTCCTGAAAAGCTCTTAGGGTTCCCATGACTGGATCCTGAAAACCCTGATGGCATAATGGCCACCCACCCACATTTGAGAGTGGATTTGAGCTATCATATTCTACTCAGCTTCCTAGGGTGGGCGGCAGAGTAATGGCTAAAATTAATTCTCCATGTTCAACTCATCATTTACCTCCCCTCCCTTGTCCTTCTCATTGCACTGTGTAGAGATAGCAATCAGAGGTTGTATAAGGCAGGCACATTAGTCAGTGTCTGGAGGATGGCTCTGAGCTCATTCTCCTTTTATTTCCTTTTCCTCGTCCTTAGCCTTTCTATTTCAGGTTCAAAGAAAGAAGTCATTTTTGAGTTCTGTCTCCCAGAATCAAGTGATAGAAGATCCCAATTGCTGCAGAACTATTTCCATTTTGGATACTCAGTGATTCACAAAGAATCAGGGCTGCAGGCTCCGTGTCCAGCTGTGCTCTCAGTATTTCACAGTAGGATGTTTCAGTAAAGCCAAGTAAACTCCTGTAAGTGACTGCAAGAAGATTCAAGAGCTGACCCATTCATCCTGTTATGTAGTTGACCCCTTCAGATGTGTTGGGCAGGAATGGCTTCCAAGAGTGTGCCCTTAGAATAAGACAACTCAAGTGACTATTTAGTAGAAGCTGCTCTATATTAAACCATTGCCTCCTTAAAATACACATGATTCTCAATTGGTTCATGAGAGTTCCTTGCTGTCCTGGGGAGGACAACTTGGACCTGTTCGTGTTAATATTTGTTTCCTTCCTTAAATGTAAATTCTCTGCCCCTCATCTCATGACAATTATGTTGTGTGCTCACTAAAACTGACCTTTATGCTAAGATACTCCTGAACTTTTCTTAATGTCTACTAATCGATTGACGTGGTCAATATAACAGAATATCTTGAGAAAAGAAGAGAACATATCTTTTAACTAGATTGGTGGCTTTGATGTTTGGTGCTCACACACAGAGAGGTCATAGTGGCACTAAGTTTAAATTAAGCTACTTAAACATTTTGGTATTGTAGTAATGATTCCTTAAGTTTAGTTAAATGAATTTGTTCAATGTCATAAGAGAGAAACTAAGTTATTCACAGTCCAAAGAATGCTTAAAAAGTCTCGGCAGATTTTTGAAATGTGATACTCTTGGGACTTGTACTATGGGAGCAAGAGTAGAAACTGAGTCTAATTGGGAAGAGCTAACTTGGTCTGCATTTTGTCCTTCAGTTACTATGTTATTGTAGGATAGCAATGGTGCCCCATCAGTGTCAGTGTTGAGTTGAACTTGAGAATGCAAATATCCAGTTTATCTAACTCACAGGCTAGCAAATAGTCAAAATGAATCATGCATAAAATAAGGACATCTGGTAATGTGGCTATCATTTATTAAGTGCTTACATGATTATATATCCTTTTGTCAAACATTTCATATGTGTTCCTCTCACATAACCTGGACATAACTCTAAAAGTATTGTTACATAGGCATTATCAGGACTGGAAACTGGATGGGTGGTAAGAGAACATGCCCCATGAAAGGTCTGCAACTATACTGTCAGCCTTAAAAAAGTTGGCTCCTACCTGGAGAGTTAACAAAAAACATGTATAAAGAAAATAATTGAAGATTTTTGAAAGAAAGAATCTGACACATTCCCAACAGTGATCAGCAGAGGAGAAAAAATGGAACTGTTGGAAACTCTTATTCTTGTTTCATGGTTCAGTGTTATTGTATCTTGAATTAAGTGTGGGGAAAGGCATCAAATACTACAAACCTTAGTGCATTTCAAGGTCCTAATCCAGATGCTTACAACATACAACTGACAAAAAAAAAAAAGTTTTCAACTCATTCAGGTAGCTCTAAGGTGCACATTTCTAACTTCCAGGCTCTACCCTGCCCAATAATAACATTTATTACAACTAAATGAGAGTTACCAGTGATGATAATAGTCAACAGGAAAAGCACTGACATTAAAGAAAGGTTTATTCTGCTCAGAAAGCCTATAGGAGGCAACCAGTAATTTAGAGCTAAAGACACAAAAGGAGAGGTACACAGCAAGGGTCACTGGTATTCTTAGGTATCGCTGCCTTTTAAATGACCACCCAATAGCTTCTCATTGCTGGTAACACATTTGTTCCTTGTCCACTGACTCTGGGCAAGTGGTTAACATCAGTTTAGAAATCTTTGAAATTCTTAGCAGACATACAACAAACCCTAGAGCAGCCATTTTAGTGTCAATGATAATATGCTTGGAGGAAAGGAGATGGATTTTTTTCATTACGAACAAATAAATCAACAGCTTTTAATGTCTCTTTCCCCTCTTACCCGATCATCACATCCTTAGATTTAAGCAAAAAAACAAAAACAAAAAACAAAAAAAACCCCAAAACAAACAAACAAACAAACAAACAAAAGAAAACCAAACTTGAAATTCAAGTCTATTAGTGTCCAAGGAATTTGGATGTTGATAAAAATTCACAATAATCTCCAACTTCTTTCAAATTCTCAAAACAGCCCCATGAGGTCATTTTCTTGTGAGAATCTAAGAAATACTAACAGAAAATACTAACAGAACTCCATCACTGCCTGAGCTGGTTGTTTTGGGGAAAATCTAGGAATGACAGATACATGAGTAGATGGGGCAATCAATTAATTAATTAATATGTTTATTCCTTCAGTGCCTTGGGAGAATTGTATTGATACTTCTTAAAGGAGGGATAGAGAGAAACTGAATATTATGGAAGAGGCAAGCAGTATACACTATTGATTGGCCTTTTAGAAATGTAATACTGATTCAAAGCATAAAATCTCAATCATTGCCTTTAAACTATTGAGAAAATGTCTTGGGCCACATATATATGAGTTTACTGTGAATATTTCTTTTAAGTATGATAATTAATTATAACCAAAATGCCCAGAATCTTGGAAATGGAATTTAAGCTTCTTTATCAGCATTTTCATTTCACTGTTGAGGAAGTAAGAGAAAATAGAGACTAAAATTGGGCATTTCGATCATCAGACAGTGAGTTCCACATGCGTTTTGTTCACGTTAGTGACAAGTGCAATCTCCTGAGCTATTTTCCATCATCTGTCCATTAGGCTGCACCACAATTATGGAGTAAGAGTCCCTTGTTGAGTATTTAAGTTTACTTTTTGATACTTTTATGGCCAGGGTTTGAGATTCTTGGTGGGAGACTTGAGAGATGAGAGAGAAAGCTAAGGGACTATTTGGATGAGTCCTTTTAAAGAAGCCAATCTCCTCTCTCCCTGCCCTTGATTCGCCATCTGGCTCTGGGAGTTTGCTGCTACACATTCCAGGACTGTGAAATTCAAATGCATGATTAGCCCCTCCATCTCCCATGCCAGCATGATTCCTAGGAAAATCACTGCTAGGACCAGACTCTAAAGAGCAACACAGACTTAGTGGGAGTGAGAGAAAAGAACTTGGCTAACTCAAATAAATAAGAAAACTCTACCCTTGGTTGTTCTCATTGCTCCCTTGAGTTAATGCTCATGAATTAAAGTTTAATAAACTTGCTGGTATATTCTTGCTGCCACCTCTTGCCATCTGTCCCTTCAACCACACCTAACAACCTAGCACCACACAGGCCAGATATAACATTCAGCATCTTGTGATTATCAACAATCTCCCACAACAAAGGTGATGGCCCTTCTTTCCTCTAGAAACCTTATGATATTTATCTGCAATATGAACCAGTCAGGAAGCATTGGTTTTAAAGTTTATAAAACAAAATGTTTAATGCATACTTAGTAAGTCTCCAGAAGGGTTCCAACACTGCTCTAATCCTAAAGAAGTAACATTTTTTTCTCAGACAATAAATCATAGATGTATTCTTTGCCTATAATCTGATGATAATCATGGTAAATCATATCAAAGATTGGTGATCCTGGGAGGCCAAAGGGAAGATATTACCTGTAGGATAATGCTCATTCACTGGCCAGTTGTCCACCTGAAGTGTGGCATTGCCCCCATTCCTGGTGAAGCGCACCACATGGTATTTGCCATCGTTGACAGGGGTTCTCTCTTCTTTGATGGAGATGTCAACTGTGCCAATATTGAAGACAACTCCTATTTTCCCTTGTTCCTGTAATAAAGAAACACAAAGGGCATGATTGCCACTGACTACAAGGTTTACTCTCTTTAAAGTTCATCCTCCAACTAGCAATAAACTTGTAGCTGCCCAGAGGGAGCTGTCAGTAGGAAGTTAATAATAGTATCCGATATTTCTCCACGGGCTTTCATCTTGAACATAAAAAAAAAAAAAAACTCAATAGTATAAAGCCACCCAAAATGTTCTCACTGGCTGCACAGTGGAAGTTACACCATTCAATGGCCTTTGGTCAATATTGATGCTACTGTGGCAGAATTTCCCAACAGTGAGACATGGTAATGAAAAGTTCATTTCTGTGAGATGGATTGGTTTTGTCTCCCGAAAGGTGTTAATATTACACTGGATCCTGAAATGTTTCACAATTTGGATTCAGGATCAAAGAAATACTATTAGCTTGCATGAACATTTTGGGGTAAGTCACCGCCGAGGGGAGGGTAACGAAAGGTTATGAGCCAATGGCAGAGAATGGGCATCATAGAACAAATCCCTGATGGTATTTTCTGCATCTCTAAAGCACATTCAAATGGTACTTTGAGCAAAGGTCAATGAAACTGAGCAGGAGTTTTCAGAGTGGGTGACTTCCCAGATTTGTAGCACTATTGTTCAATTAATCTAGAGATAAAATATTCATTCTGTCACTTATGCTATACAGTACAAGGCAACATCCATAGCTCAAAATGTCTTTGGGGACAGAGAAATTGCAATGGGCTCTAGAAGAGGAACATTATGGCAATGAGCATGAAGATGATGGAGACAACAGTGGGGGTGGAGATGAGATCATCCACCTCTGGGGAAATGCCCGGAAACACTGCACTGTACATAACAGTGCTATTAAAACTCTTCCTTGTCCCCATTAATAATTGGTTATGACTAAGCGCTGGAATTGGTATTCATGATGAAATAAAATGAAAGCGGCTTTCCTGGTCAGATACAATCAGCTTCTTTAACCTTCAGGAAAAGCATAACAGCTTTGTGGAGTATCAGAAGGGACAGGGTAAGAGAGAAGGAGACTGTTTTGCTCTCCTCTGTAGTTGTCTAGCATACTGGCAATCAGCTGGGTACTTGATTGTAATAAAATTTAGCTGTCATTCTGACATTCACAAGGCTGAGTCATAGAATTTTTTTCATCAGCTTTATTTTATCTACTATTTGTTTGAGGAGTAGAAGGAGGAAGAACAAAGAAAGGGAAAGGAAGAAAGGAAGAATGGTGTAGTTAAAGACCAGAATCCATATCATTTAAGTTCTAGGAAACATTTATGGATGGTCAGACTTAGTATCCATCTATCCTTATACCCACCTACCCACCTATGCATCCATCTTTCCATCCATCCATCCATCCATCCATCCATCCATCCATCCATCCATATGTATTGAGGCAGCCAGCCACCCATTCATCTGTCCATCCATTCATTCAGTATATAAAGGTAATATTAATACCCAGTATTATAAATTAGAATTTCTTGTGGTGTAGACACTGGTTTCCATAATTTTTGGTACAGTTCATTTAATTTCCCAAGAAGCATGTTTCCCTCCACTTGTTAGTTATCTTTTTTGTCTCTTACTATGTAGATGCATCTCAAAGCTGATTGAGGGAAAAAACCAAACAGTACCCAAGAGTCCTCATCTTCGAAGTGAATAATGTAGACCGACTGATGCATCATGTTTTCAGTACTCATGAAAGCAAATCCAGGGTGGATATTGCTGCTTCCTTTGTGTTCAAAGAGTATGCTCTGGGATATGAACTGTTGCCTGCATTTGTCATTTTTTAAACCCTACAAAAAGGGTACTAATGCCGCCCAACATGTTAACTAAACAGACTCAATTCCAAAACCTCTGTTTATTGGTATGATTATGATCTTGGATTTGTTTTGATTGGTTTTGTCTGTCTATGTTAAACAATATACTTAGCATGGAGGATTATGTATGGAAAGGGGAATATGATGATAGGGTCTTTGTTGCAATGTTCATGCCCATATTGAATAATATGATTCATTTCATCCTATTTATTTGATCCTCGGGGAATTTGGAAATGTCATTACTTATGTGCTCTGTATCAGAGAGGTGCCATTCATTATTCATTTTTTAAGGAAGTGGGAATTAATGAGTAGGTGGGTGTCCATGCCTTCATAGAAAAATAAGCAAGGCTATAAAAGCCTGAATCATCGTATGCTTACAGAATGACAGAACTGGATGAGTTAAGAAACCACAACTGAAACCATTACTCTTCTGCCCACCCTACAAATGTAGGCTGTTTATTGCATTGTGTTTTTTCCATGAGAAACTACTACATAAATCCTGTATGCATGAAAAAGCCTGCAGTGATTTAGTTCACCTCTGAGTCACTAGTTAATCATAGATGAAGAACAGTATTTAGTGTTCTAAATGGAACAGAGACCTTAGTGCTATGAAGCTTCCAACGACAGAGCCAAAGGACAGTTCTGGCTCATTGACTTAGTTGATCAATAAGATATATTCTTGGGAGAATTTTCTGCAAGATCCATAATAGATCCAGGAGAAGAAAAGATTTAATCTCTGCCAGAATAAATATTTGGTCCTTAGGTGTCACACATTTGCCACTAGAATCTGGATTTTCCAAAAGATCTTCTTAGTCCTGTTAGCACATTGTCAAATCCAATGTAGACCCTCACTCAGATGTTTCTCTTTGCTTTCCACAGTGGTAAATGTAGCTGTGCTAGACCTCAGATGTGCTCTCTTTATTTGCAGTCATAAGACTTCATTATCATCACCTTCTTGTAATTTGTCATGGGACCACAGTGGCATTATAATCCATGGCTAACTGCTTAGTTTCAGTTCATTAGTGGTCATAGAAGCCTTGTGGCAAATACCCATATAGTTGCCCAGGCTTGAATCTATAATATGCAGCTTCCATGAAAATAAACTCCTGTGGTCCATGTGTCTATAGAAGGAATGAAGTGGAGGATAAACACATTAGCTTCGCATCATTCCTACCTGACCTTGCAGCAGCTTACTTAACTATTCTGAACCCATTTTTTAAATAATGCACTGTGGGGCAAGAAGCTTCCTTTAACATTCTTCAAAGGTCTATTATAATGAAATAATATTGCTTATGTGATGAATCCTGTTGTACTTATTTCTCTCTTTTACTAGTGTGTATGTGTGCATATGTGTGCGTTTAAGTGTGTTCACAGAGTGTAGAAGCTAGAAGACAGCCTCAGCTATTTTCTTTGATACAGGGCCCTTCATGGACCTGGAAGTTATCAATTTGCTATATTTACTGGCTGATGGATACCAGAGATCTTACTCCCTTTTCCCTCCCAATCACTGTGGTTACAGAAATATGCTACCATGGCTGGCTTTTTACATGGGTGCTAGGCATTACATCCAGGCATATAAGGCAAGTACTCTACTAACTGAGCCATCTCATCAGCCCATATAATAGTACAAATACATAAAAATAAGAGGGATGGATGAAATCAGGAGAGACTGCATAGTAAGTCATTTGCCCATAAAAACAAATGATCTGTCATTGTTAGAGAATTCAGTAGGATGACCATGAATGGGTTTTAGTACAGTACAGTACAGTAAAATAACAGCACTGGCTCCTAAAAATGTATGACCTTTGTCTCTTATTTTTAAAGGGGTCTGTAATAAGAAGGAAAGACAACTTTCTCTCTCTGAAGACTGTTGTGTGAATTACATATGATGCATCTGCCACATGGATTGCATACTTTTAGGCTGCAATATGTCAGTCCTTTCTCTTCCTGTTAGTATAATTGAAAGTAGTTGTGTGAGCTAAGGACTGGCCGGTTTGGCAGGCATTGCCATCACAATCTATTGTAAAAATATATGTAAATTTTGGCAAACAGAGCTGGTTTTCAGGGTTGATTTCCTGTCACAATTTGGTAGTTGCTTTCTATCCACTTTCCTTGGTGCTGCTTATAAACCTCTTGAACATAAGCAAAATGTAGCTCCAGAAACAACACAGCTATAAATTTTAATAGCCCCACACCCATAATGACTGAAGTTGCTGCCAAAGCAATTACTTCAATCTGCGTTCTTCCTTGATATTAAAAACAAAGAGGAGTGGTAAATCAGAAGACATTACTTATCATCTTCAAGGGCATTCAGGAGAAATCCTGAATGATACAGGAGCATCTGCCTATCTAAGGTCAGTAAGCCATTATTTATCAATACTGGCTATTTGTCCACCCACTTGGTTCCTCAAATGAGCCCAGATCCAGCTACTTGATCCTCAACTTGTCATATTATGGCTAACATGGCCAACATAACCCCAGGAATGCGCCAAGCACTTGGGTCAGGTTTTAGGAGAAATATACAGGGACAAGAGAAAAAAATTCAAGAATGAAGAAAGAACTCCCCAATGGTATACTCTCCATTTGCTCCACAGTGCCTCTGGGGAAGACTGAATGTACCATTCCCTACTTCAGAAAATTTCAGCTGACAGAAACAAAGTGGCGACTCTCAAATGTGTGCCTGGGAGATGTGCACTGAAACATTTCTCCATGGTATCTATCACTGTTAGGAATCTCAGAATTATTTCTTTAGCTTTGGACAATAACACAGTGAAAGCAATGTGTATATGATGCTTTGGTGCCTGTGCACAACAAGGCCTTGGTAAGACTCCTGTCCACTCTCTCTACTCAAAGTAGTTCATGGCTCTGCTCCCCACACTTTTCCAGTTCTCCTAATTATAAGCTCATAGTGAGGGAAACCTTTTGCATCTCTTTGTGATGGATAGACCCAGGAGTCCAGGGTCCAGTAATTGTCATTAGTGAGCCACACATAAAAATTCTGGCATGAGACTTGCCAGTCTCCTCCCACTGCTGTGAATGACTGTCTCCAGAAAGTTCTTCGTAGTGGCTGTTTTGTCATTTTGGGTCACTGAGTGAGAATGTCACCAAATTAAATGGACATGGCTTTGAGCACAGAGTGTTTAGGATATCATTGCTGCATAACTGTCACAACTTGAA